TCTTCCTATTGTTGAAGTATAAACATAAATACATGAGATGAAGGCACTTTTCTCTTTGGTTTTCTTTCAGACGGAAAGATATTTGTCAATCTTTATAAAACATAAAGCAACCTATAGATAAACTTGCCCTATTCTACAACCAGAGCTATATTTACAGTAGAAGCATAAAGAAATATTTCAAAAAAATAAAAATCACTCAACTACTGGCCCAATTATGATTTCCTTTTAAGGTTGTGATCAAGCTAGTTTATTTTTTTTATTTATTTTTTCCTCTACCTGCTTTTATCATGTCTTTTTACTTCCTTTTATTCTGCTTTTCTGTGGTCAAACAGTTTTGTTTTACAAATGTATTTGTTTTTATTCTGCTTTTATCTTTCTTCTATTTTATTATCTAATTGAAGTAATTGTGTACTGAATTTTGATATGCAAATAAACTTGCCTCAATGTGAAACTACCATCAGACATGTGCAGGTATGTTTTTCCCCCTTTTTTTTGATCATCGGGTCTAAATAACCCAATCATCTCCTAGCAGGTTATTTTCCCGTTCCAAGACTGAAAATGTGTAGTTTTATAAACTCTACTGGGAATTTAACTGGATCCAAATAAATTAGTCAGGATATACCTCGATAAAGGTTAGTCAGCATCACACATCTGTCCTAAGATGAAAGAATATATTCAGTGACAGACTGCTGCACCCTAAATGCACCAGTGAGCGTTATCACAGATCCTTCCTCCCAGCAGCGGGAAGACTCTAGAACCACCACTGATTCCAACAACTTCAATAAGTTTTTCCATTCATGCTGATTTTGCAGTTTCTACCTTAGTCAGTTTTTAACATCCTGCTGTCATATTTCCACATATCTGTTGTTGCTGCTATTTTCAAATATCCATTATTGTCAAAATGTCCACAACTGTTTAATGAATTATTTGTTCTTCAGATACAGAGTATGTATATTGTAAAACATTATACAGTACAGTATATTTTTTGTTTATTTTCTTAACTCTGTCACTTTTTTCTGTTATTTTTATTCACTTTTCTAAGGTCCACATTCTGCTGAATGTGAAGTGACCACTTCTGCTATAATCTTTTGCTGCTGCTGTAACACCACAATTTACCCATTATAGGACAAGAAAGGGATTTTCTATTCTATTCTCCCTCTTTCCCTCTCTCTATCCATATATATATATGAGTTCTGAGTTCGTGCCCCACTCCCACAGACTTTCTAAGCAAGACCCTTAAAGCTACAGTGTGTAATAATTACAGGGATATACAGTCAGAAATGTAATATATTATACAAAACTATGTTATTTATCATCATCTACGAGCTCAGCCTCTTAACCTTAATATTTGCGTTGCCTTAGAATTCGTTATTTATAATTACATAGGAGCGGGTCTCGCAGCCATGGAGGCAGACATCTTTGCGCTACGGCAGCGCAGAGCCTACAAACTAGCGATTGCGAGATCGCCCATTACGGGTATATTTATTATCTTAAGTCTACAAGAAATCTATACACAGACTAATGAAATACTATCTGTAAAATTATCTATGTAAACAAACCTCATCACTTGAGAAGGTAGGTGATGCGGACGTCGGGGAAGACATTTTGTCCCGTAACGCTCGCCGTACTGTTAGGGGGGAGAAGCGGTGGGGGGGAGATATTCTTGTTGCTGCGGTCTGCAGTCTGACTGCTAGATGTCGCTGAAAATTACACACTGTAGCTTTAACCCCACACTGCTCCTTGGGCGCCGCACGATGGCAGCTCACTGCTCCCCAGGGGGATGAGTTAAATGCAGAGAGTGAATTTCGTTGCTCTGTACTTGGGACAAAACAACATGCATTAGAATAATTATCCAACATATATGGTCTAATCAACAAAGAAAGGAAGTCAACATTTCTTCATTCTTTCCCCAGACCTAAAAACTATAGACATCTTGTGCAGAAAAACCCTTTATGCTGCAACCTTGTGAAATGTTATAAAAACTTGACGCTGTTTTAAAAAAATATAAACAGCTGGGGTTCAGAAATGAGTGGTACTAATATATGGATTTTTTCCCCCATTGAATGAATGTAATCACATTATCCGTATCAGGAGTGCCATTAAGGTCAGAAGGTGTATTTAAGGCGAGTTACTTTGAACGATTTGTGTCTCTCTACACTTGCAGAGCTGATGGCTTCATCCATCCAGGTTTGAGGAGGTGGCAGTCAATCTACCATCTGGAGTCTGAGAGTCCAAGAAGGTTTTCACCATTAAAGACAGATTTATGGGCAGGTCGAAATGAAAGGAGCTTCAGACCAGCAGAAGGGAGGCCATGGCTTCAGGATGCTCATGAACGGCTGCACACAAAGCAGGACTGGATGAGGAGCAACAGAAGAACGGCACAGATGCTCGACATCGAACAAATGGTACAGAGATTTAAATGTAAAAAAAAAAAATCAGAAGTCATTCAGGGTTTGGTCAAATGTTACATTTGTACTTTGACATATACGTCTGTCTGATGCAGCTGCTATCCAAATCAATGAGTGGTGCCGGACAGGATGCAGGTGAATTACAACAACTGGACTGGAGTCGACACCATGGAGAGCTCCAAGAAAGGTAGCAGTGGCAAAGCACATGTAAATGGTAGTTAAGGATTTTCATAATTTATTTTTCTTTGAAGAGCCTTAAAGCTGGAAAATGAGCTGCAGCACATGAGGTCTAATTTTGAGAATGTAAGTGAAGATCATTGGACTCGTCTTCCAGCTCCAGCGTTACACAGCGAATCCCTAAAGACTCCAGGAGACGTGCAGAAACAGGTGCTAGGCCTTGTGTTGAAAACATGTGTGTTAGTGCATATTTCTGCATTTAAATTCTGCTTTGAATACAGGAGAAGAGCAATCTTGCAGCTGAGGTTGGCTTCCTAAGGAAGACCCTAAGAGAAGCTGAGGCGAGGGCCACAACTCTTCAAGAAGAACGAGACAAAGCAGTGAAGGATCTTCAGACTTCTGTAGAGG